CTCCTCCCCATCGCCATCTTCTGCCTCCTCCTCCTCCTCCTCCTTCCTCCTCTCCTCCTTCCCCATCGCCATTTTCTTCCTCCTTCCCCATCGCCATCTTCTTCCTCCTCCTACTACTTCCCCTCCTCCCCATCGCCATCTTCTGCCTCTTCCTCCTCCTCCTCCTTCCTTCTCTCCTCCTTCCCCATCGGAGGGTCTTCTTCCTCCTCCTCTTTCTCCTCCCATAGCCAATCGTTCTCCCCCTTCTCCTCCTCCTCCACCTCCTCCTCCTCCTCCTTCTCCTCCATTCGCGATCTTTTTCCTCCTCCTCCTCCCGATCATGATCTTCCTCCTCCTGATCCTCCTCCTAGTCCTCCTACCCATTGCGATCTTGTTCCTCCCTCTCCTCCTTCTCACCCTCCTCCCATCGTCGACAAACATTCGTAACGATTCCAAACCCAAAAAAAAAAAAAAGGTGACCTGGCAATGGAAGAGGAGGAAGAAGACCCTCCCCAGGGAACTGCTATGTATGTTTGTCGGCGATGAGAGGAGGAGGAGGAGGAGGAGGAGGAGGAAGAAGATTGCGATCTTCTTCCTCCTCCTCCTCCTCCTTCTTCCCATCCTAATCTTGTTCCTCCTCCTCCTCCTCCTTCACCCATAGCCGACAAACACACGTGACCGTCATTACGATCCCAAAGTCGTATTAAAAAAAAAAATAAAAAAAATCTGAGGTGGCGATGGAAGACAAGGAAGAAGATCGCGATGGGAAAGAGGAGGAGGAGGAGGAGAGGGAGGATGGCGATGGGGAGCAGGAGGAGGATGGCGATGGGGAGAGGAGGACGAAGACGATGACGCCGGGGAGGGTCGTGTTACTCCTCCCCCCCCCCCGCCCATCGGCATTTTCCTCCTCCTCCCCATCGCTATCCTCCTCCTCCGCCTCCTTTCCATCGCCGTCTTCTGCCTCCTCCTCCTCCTCCTTCCTCCTCTCCTCCTTCTCCTCCCATAGCCGATCTTTCGCCCCCTTCTCCTCCTCCTCCTCCTCCTCCTCCCATCGCGATCTTTTTCCTCCTTCTCCTCCTCCTCTTCCTCCTCCCCATCGCCATTTACCTCCACCTCCTCGTTCTCCTCCTCTCCTCCTTCCCCATCGCCATCTTCTTCCTCCTCCTACTCCTCCCCCTTCTCCCCATCGCCATCTTCTGCCTCCTCCTCCTCCTCCTTCCTCCTCTCCTCCTTCCCTATCGCCATTTTCTTCCTCCTCCTCCTTCTCCTCCCATAGCCAATCGTTCTCCCCCTTCTCCTCCTCCTCCACCTCCTCCTCCTCCTCCTCCAATCGCGATCTTTTTCCTCGTCGTCGTCGTCGTCGTCGTCGTCCTCCTCCTCCTACTCCTCCCCATCGCCGTCTTCTGCCTCCCCCTCCTCCTCCTCCCCATCGCCGTCTTCTTCCTCCTCCTCCTTCTCCTCCCATAGCCGATCTTTCTCCCCCTTCTCCACCTCCTCCTCCTCGTCCTCCTCCTCCTCCTCCCGTCGCGATCTTTTTCCTCCTCCTCCTCCCCATTGCCGTCTTCTGCCTCCTCCTCCTCCTCCTCCTCCTCCTTCCTCCTCTCCTCCTTTCCCATCGCCATCTTCTTCCTCCTCCTCCTTCTCCTCCCATTGCCGATATTCTCCCCCTTCTCCACCTCCTCCTCCTCCTCCTCCTCCTCCTCCTCCTCCTCCTCCCGTCGCGATCTTTTTCCTCCCCCTCCTCCTCGCCCTCTTCCTGCTCGTCCTCCCCATCGTTGTCATCCTCCTCGTCCTCGTCCTCGTCCTTACCAAGCAGAAGAAAGAAAAAAAAAAAAAAAAAAAAAGCTGACGTGGCGGGGGAAGGGGAGGAAGTCACAACGGGGAGAAGAAGGAAATCAACGATGGGAAGGAGGAGGAAGTCAGCGATGGGAAGGGGAGGAAGAGGGAGATCGGGAGGAGGAGGTGGAAGAGAAAGATCGGATCATCGGAGGAGGAGGAGGAGGTCGGTGATGGGGAGAGGAGGAAGTCAGCGATGGGGAGGGAATGAGGTCAGCTATGGGGAGGGGAGGAAGAGGGAGATCAGGAGGAGGAGGTGGAAGAGAAAGATCG